CTCCCGGACTTTGTCTATGGAGGTACGCAGGGCTGTGGTGGGGACATCTATCAACCGAACGTGTCCCCGTACATACAGCACTGTACGCAGGGGTAATTGGTGGCATGAGCCGGGTACAGACGATACTGGGTCATGTAATTCAACACTGAGAAAATATCACATGAGCATTACTATAATTGTCTAAAAGTGTTAAAAATAGAATTGTTGTAGAATTGACAGTCCTATGCATGTCAGAGTACTAAAATATATGAAACACTTTTGATAGATTCATTGCGATCCAAGCAGGCGATTAGAATTACGCTTTCGTCCAGATGATCCGTACTGTCACCCTGCATGTGGAAACAGATATGCAACGACCAGCGTACTCCTGAAAGTCACAAAAAGAACACGAAAACCGAAAGCTGGGCAGACGGATAGCGCAGTAGAGACTCAATATAAAAGTGAGATTTTAGGAAGTGTGGACACGACGTACCGATTTCAAGGTAAGAACAAGGTATTCTGACTTGTGTCAGGAACTTGTTGAATACAAAACAAAAACAATTGTATATAGATAGTTTCAGACCAAGTATAATTTAGCCATTGAAAAAGTAACCACACCTAAGCCAACAAAACTGTTAAAATATATGATTTGTAGACATTGTTCATTGCATGACATAGAAGATGAAATACACTTGCTTTCATAATGTTTAAAATACCAAACCCATCGAAAGGAGATTCTTTCAAAAATTACATTTCCAAATGAAACCATCACTGAACTACAAACAATCCTTTTTTTAATATAAAGTAGTTAAGCATATATTTAAGCTATTGGGTGAATCAAACCGGATTTTTTTTTTCGATTTAGTTGCTGTAATTTTTGTTTATGTAGAATTTTTTTCTATCATTTCCCCTGTATCAAATGCTACCCCAGAGTTTGTAATGATCAACCACGTATTGGTCAGTTTCATGCAACTGGTGTGATATGAGGTGGAGATCAAAAGATGAAGTTAGGTGAAAATTATCCCAAAGCGTGTTTTGCATGCATTTTGCATTTTTAAATAAATTCATACCTTCTCAAGAATCCTCTGCGTGATGTTATATTTGGTAAGAAATGCGTTTGATTAACACATCTAAGATTTTCAGCGTATATTACTGTATATAAATATTTAATTTGCTTATCCGTATCTTATAAATCCTTGAAATACGCTCTTGAAATTTATTTTGAAATTATTCCTAAATCGTTACAAAAAAGAAATAAAGTATAGTTAGAAAAATGCATTTTCCAAACATTGTAATTATTGTTTTAGCCCAGCCATTTTTACCCTTAATTATATATATGAGTTTTTGCAGTTCACACCCCAAAACGCACAAATTGCGTACATGTAGCATACTCTCCTGGGAAATTTATTCTAAATTACATATACTATATATGGACTTTTCCTTTTAAGGTGAGCGTCACTCTTGAGCAGTTTGCTCACATAAAATTTCGCTGAGGGAAGCTAACTAAACTCTCCTACAAAAAAATTACTATTTTTTTTTTTATAATAAACACACAAACAAATTAAATTGAATTCATTCCTATAACTTGTCTCAGGGTTTTGGGGGTTTTTTTGGAGAGCTATTTTTCAATTTCCGGACATTTTCGAAAGGTCTGTGTATTTGATGGATTAGAAGATTGTGTTTACATTTATTATATATTTGTACAATTATCAATCATTTTATTTAAGAATGAAATTATGTCAAGATCACACAGGACTTGTTCACAAGGAAAGTCATGCAAAATTTGACAATAAATGTAAACAATTGTTCTGTGTTTACTATTTATAGGACTTGCCGATTACCAGTATCTTCCTGTTGCTCGGCAACAAGATGGCAAAATGGAGTCACTTCATCAGAAGCTTTTTATCACCAAAGTAGAAGAATCTTGTGAATATCTGAACAGAAATATATCACTATTCATTCCACCGCCAAGTTTTTCGAGAATCGACATTCCAATAGACTATTACTACAGACCAGATCAGCACAGAGACATTAATAGGTCGTCACATCTAATTGGTATTGCTAGAGCCAGGCGTCCTCATAATGCTAGGTTCTTGAATTTTGACGATAAAGATGTTCCTGACACGCCATTAGATGCTGCGTTGGTTTCACTCAAGAAAATGCCAGAACCCACAGGAGAAGACGAAATCAGAGAGGTTTTACTTTTTATCTGTCATTTTTATGCTTGATGTACATATTTTATTGCGACTCATCGTCTGTTTGTTTGGCCCACTTCAGATTAGTACATGCATATGCAAATTAGTGTGTCATGTGTATGTTCCCATATATGGCATTGTATGAATGCATTATCCTGGCCTCATTGAACATTAACCAAATGTGTTTTCTCACTGATATTTGGCTAAATTGTTCACAGTTTCTGTAATTTTCAGTGAATTCTATCTTGATTTTTAAACAAAACAGGCAAAACATGACATTGCTTCTAGTTTTTGGCGAAAAAAAATGTTCATGTGGAAAATAGCAGATTATAATTGGAAATATTTGGTGGATGGTGCCTGAAGATACCTTTGCTGCTCAAAGGGTTAAGCAAATACCTTAGTGAATGAATCTTGGCTAGTGGCTTTGGCTTCGCAGGAGAGTCGATGACACCCTCCACTCAACATCAACCTCCCTTCCCCCACCTCAGGTGTGAAGGGCTCTCATATTGTGTTAATACTGTACATTATATAGTATGCATGCTTCCTAAATCTTAATTTGCATCAGTGTTTTCTAGCAGTAAGATCTGATTAGAAAGTTTGAGAAATTGATAATTTATTTATTTTATCTTATCACACAAATAGTTCCATGACGTTCCATCTCCAATAGATTACACACCTGCACAATTCATTGTATTTCAGTTTTTCTTCTTTTTTTATCTAGTTGTTCAAAAAGCGACCAGTGTGGTCTAAAAATGCCCTGAAGAGTCATATTGACATCCATATTGAAAAACTCAAAGTACTTCTACCTGTTGTAGCTTATTATTTTGTGACTGGACCATGGAGGTCATTGTGGGTCAGATTGGGATACGATCCAAGGAAAGACCCGGCTGCCATTTCATATCAAGTATTGGACTTCAGATTAAGGCAAAGTAAGAATTAATCCTTTTAGGGTATATACTGCATAAAAGTACCACTTCCAGTATGTTATTAGAGGTGGTCCTTTCCCGAATTTTAGAATATGTTTTAATTTTGGGTCAGCTAGTGTAAAATAATTTTTGCTGAAATGACTTTTGGGTGTTTTGTATGGAATTTCTTTTCACTGATTTTTGATGAGTTGTATGTAATATATAAACAAGTAGCCTGTCGGCTGAGATAGCTCCGCTGTTAGCAATGCACATTGCAATTAAAGAACAGAAGATATCATTAGAAAATGAACAATATGTATAATATCAAAGCAACAAGAATTCATAAAATTTCACCAAAAATAATCATCAAAATTAGATAATTGAAGATATCACCACGAAATTAACAAATCTGAATCAGGTCCACATGTAGTACCTATATATGTAATATAAAAGCAATCAGACTTGCGGTTTTCAGCAAGAAGTCAAAAATATCACTTTTTACCAAAAATTTAAAAAGTTATTCACTAAAATCAGAGAATAAAAGATATCATCACAAAATGAACAAATCTGAGAGAGGACCACATGTAGTACCTATATATGTAGTATCAAAGCAACTGGACTTGCGGTTTTTAACAAGAAGTCGAAAATATCACTTTTTACCAAAAATGACAAAAATATTCACCAAAATTAGAGAATTAAAGATATCA